AATTATTGGAATTGGTGTCCTACCTGCAAACCATACGTATTTTTATTATATGGGTTACCTAATAAACGTACCTATACGTCGTATACAAAAATTCAATCAACCCATCTAAAACTTCTTTTGGTTTCATCTCCAGTGCTAAAATTTTCTGAATAGCTTCAGTGCTACTTTTTATGAATGAATTCACTATTCATTCAATCATTCATAGTATCCATGTAGAAGTGCATATTCGTGTGAGGGCGCTCGTATCAGTGAAGAAAAATGATCCAAAATTGCGTCTGCAGAGGTCCAGCAAAAATCACTTTTGATGGTGATATTTTGAATGGATCCTTGCGAATTTTTTTGACAACGAAGATAAATGTATAAGTGAGGCATCTCTCGAAGTACTTTTCAAAAAATATATATACCTAGTGAGAAAAAAAATAGTGAATCTGGTCAATTTTCTGGAATTTTTTTCGACTATTTTTTTTCAAAAATTTGAAAAAGTACTCCGAGAGATGCCTAGATCCAACCTTCTAGAAACGATCCGTGAAAAAAAATCTTGAATTTATTTAGCGAGCTTCGAGTATTTTGATTTCTGCCGTTCCTTGTTTCCCCAATGATCGCTCATAGGGTTAAACCCCTCTTAATATCGATCATAATAAGCAAATTTTGTTTCCAATCACCAAATATAGGTTCCAACGATCAAATATTGGTTCATACTTCCTAATATCTGTTCTTATAGCTATAATATTGGTTTCAATGGCCAAATATAGGTTTCAATGGTCGAATATCGGTTCATATATGTCATGAAATCCTCCTCATTAGCCAAATATTGGTTTCAATGGCCAAATATAGGTTCTAATGAGCAAATATCGGTTCATACTTCCTAATATAGGTTCTAGTAGCCAAATATGGTTTTCAATAACCAACTATAGGTTTCAATGGTCGAATATCGGTTCATATATGTCATGAAATCCCCCTAATTAGCCAAATATTGGTTTCGATGGCCAAATATAGGTTTCAATGAGCAAATATCGGTTCCAATGAGCAGATATCGGTTCATACTTCCTAATATAGGTTCTAGTAGCCAAATATGATTTTCAATAACCAACTATAGGTTCCAATGGTCGAATATCGGTTCATATTTATCCTGCAATTGGCCTCATTAGCCAAATATCGATTTGAATGGCCAAAATGTAGGTTCCAATGAGCAAATATCGGTCCATTCTTCCTAATATTGGTTCATACAGCCAAATATCGTTTTCAGTGTCCAACTGTAGGTTCCAATGGTTAAATATCGGTTCATATATGTCCCGAAATCGGTAACCACTAACCAAATATCGATTTCTATGGTCAAATCGAGGGTCAAATATAGGTTCCAATGAGGAAATATCGGTTAATACATCCAAATATTGGTGCTAATAGCCAAATATCGTTTCCAATAACTGAGTATAGGTTTCAATGGTCAATTATCGGTCTATATATTCTGAGATTATTATACCAATCACCAAATATCGGTTCCGATTTCCAAGTATGTGTCTATACTTCCCAGCATATCTGTTCTACTTGCCAAAAAATATCAGTCTATACGATACGTCCTAATATAGGTTCTAAAGGCCAACTATATATCATTTCCAATGGCCAAATATGGTGAAATATCGACCCATACTTCCTGAATTCGATTCTATTTGCCAAAAATCCTTCCCAAATATAGTTCCATTGGTCAGAAATCGGTCGCGATAGCAAAATATTAGTCCAAACGATCGAATATTATTTCGAACGACAACAGAATATATTTAAGGAAAAATTGCGTTGCCAGGTATACATTATGGTGTTTCGAGTTCGACGATATATCTTTCCGATATTCATGTGTATGATAATAATATATAGTACATACAAAAAATCATAATTTCGGATTATTCTTTGGTAATCTCTGGGCTATCAGAGAATCTTTTCCTGTTTCACAGGATAAAGCGAATCGATAGAAAGTAGTCGTGAGAAACCGTTGCATTGTTTGCTCCATTTTTCGAAATATCATTCACTGGTCAGTGACGGTCCCGGATCATTATTTAGGGATCATCTGAAAATTATTCGAGAGTAGATATACATTAATGTGGAATACTTACTCTTTTTCATATTTAATATTCTTTACGTTATTTTCCGCCAAACTATTTGTTCATGTTTCATGATAGTTCATTGACTCAACCCCCTCTTTTCACTGAGATGTGGAATAAAATCGATTCGCGGAAAATATATCGATTAATAATTATTTTGATAGGCATGTTATTGGAAACTAATCGTCTTCTCATTTAATATTTCAATAAGGATATTTCGTTTCGAAGCACACAGGGAACCATTCGAGGTACATAATTGAACCAAAGTTGGTAAAAAGAAAATTCTACAATAATATTCGATGGAAGAAGCACTAAGTAATCTCCACGACATTCAATTTCAAATATCAAATCGGACATCACTGTGACATCCACCTTGAAAAAAAGGAATCGTTGAATTAAGCAAAATTTAATTGAATGAAGCAAATGAAAGTGTCATATATACCCGACAAAATATAATCTTGAGATTACTGAATCTATATCTTGATTCAGTATACTAATTTGAAGTTTGAATCAAGTAAATAGGTCTTGCATGAACTCTAGATCTTATTCAATCAAGCACATCCATACATTGTTTATGAAGAGACATTGAATTGGCTCAAACAATGATTTTGTTCAATTCTTTTTGACAAGATGTTGATTCAATCAAATATTTGGTTGAATTAAATATTTGCTTGATTCAATGAAATATATTGTTGATTCGATGAAATATTTCGTTGATTCAAGATATTCTGTATTTCAATTCAGTATTGATTCGGGAATTTTCTGAAATTCCACATCAATAGAACAAACAACTAAACTAGGAAACTAGTAGTCTTCTAGCATTTCGGCTTGCAATGCATCCCAAGTTTGATTTATCCTGCTGATATTTCAAACACGAAGAATCATGCTTCACGTATATAATGAATTCGAGGCAGGCATAGACGAATTGAAAAGACCGACATCTATAGTATCGAAAATTCAACTCGATGTTGAATGAACAAAATATTTCGTTGATATTATATGTTTCGTTGCTCTATTCAAGCAAATGATCCGTTCGAAACAAGTTCATTGCTACATCGGAATAAGAAAACTTGTATGTTGTTTTGAAGATATTATTTACTATAATTTATTTATTCCTCATGTCCTTCATTATATGTCTGTTGATCTTTTTATTTTTTTTATTCCAGGAATTATCCATATTTACTATCTACTTATATTCTTCGAATGTAGTAATTCCAGAACCATATATCTTGTTGATGCTATTGATATCATACTGTTGATTCAATAAAACTAAAGTCTTGATTTAAACATACTGCTTCTATAAAATAATCATAATGTATCTGTTATTTAAGAAAAAATTGCTCAGTCCAACAAGAATAATTCAAGCATATATATTTAGTTGATACAACAAATTCTTTTTTTTTTTCGTGTAGGCGAAGTAGGGCCTTCATGGGCCGCACTTGTTGCTATACTCAGTCCGAGTGACAGCCTACTACGATCCCGCGAAAAAGCAAATTTTCGATATTGTGCTTGGCGTTGGAGACACCGAAAAAAGTTATTGAAAAAAGTTGCTTAGACATTAATTTTTGACCCTATATACCGAATTTCAACGCAAAATTCTACTGTTTCGGTTTTCTACGCCTCATCATTATGCAAGAATAATTCGTGTTGAAATGGCCATGTATAACTTTTGTTTTCTTTTCTCACAAGTCGTTCTAGATATACTCTCAGTTTCAATATTTTCTGAAGGATATGACTCATTTCATTCGGAATCTGGATAATTCGTATTGAAGAGGCTTGACCAGGGGGTGCAATTTGTTCTTCTTGGATAAGATCTTTCGACGCCACTGTTGATTGACAAGGGAAGTGGCTATCCATATGAGATTTTCGCCTTTTGACGATAACCTGTCAGAGGAGGCATTGTATCTGCGTTCTTTTATTCTCAATTCTCATTCGGTTTCGATTTTTCTATTGGGGAACTGTGGATTGACAGATTTGTTGTTATTGTGTCTTTTGTTGATGATATTGCGAGTAAGGGGTCTTGTGAAACATTCAAATTTTTTTCGTTATGGGTTGTTTTTTATTGATTCTAGAATGAGGAAACTACTTTCAGCCTAAAAACTCTTTCGTTGTATGGTATTATTTTTGCGTAAACATTATGTCCTATTCATGACTTTCCCGCTTAACATGATTGTTGATCATTATTAGTATTAATGACCATATCAAAAATACGAATGATTTTGTGACCTTGTGATGGGTTTTTGTTCGATTTTGTTAAAAGAACAATGCTGATGAATTGAGGTCATCATTTTGATAATGACTAAAAGAATTGATAATTATATTTCAGTTGTGTAACTTCCCACATATCCAATGTGATAAAAAATCAATATTCAATGGAAATATTATTGTTCTTATCAAAATGATGTGTAAGGAATGTATTATTCAGGTGGGTTTAAAATACAGTTCTGAAGTCATTTAATGCAACACTACAAATTTGACTCTGTCGCTGTGTATTAAGAACTGTATTATGATTTCGATTACCAAGGTATGTATCATGGACATCGACATCCTTATCTCAAAAAGTTTTATGCATATCTTGAAACCACATGAAATTTCAAAAATAGACGTCGTTTCTTCAGTACAAATTGAGTGTTTCATTCATTTTATAAGCCCCGTTGAGTTGGTGACATGTATCAGATACGTATCAACTGACATGTATCAGATACGTATCAACTGACATGTATCAGACACGTATCAACTGACATGTATCAGATATGTATCAACCGACATGTATCAGATATGTATGAACTGACATGTATCAGATACGTATCAACTGACATGTATCAGATACGTATCGAATAATATGTACCAGACATGTATCAACTAACATGTTTCAGACACATAACAATGCAGTTGTTTTCGTTTCAGGTGTGGTAGCATGCACGGCAACAGTAACGACCGCAGGGCCCTCGAAAGAGAGGCCCTGCGAAACGTCATCAATCAATGGAATGCGAACCGATTGGACCTCTTCGAATTATCCGAGCCGAACGAGGTGAGTTTACGATTTTGTTATTAAGGTATTAAAATAGTTCCAATCAATATTTATGCGATATCTTTTGGTCTCTTCATAGTTATTTTTTCTTGATTTTGCCGCGAAGTATGTCACTATTCACACTTGTTTGTACTATTTCTAATGACAGTATCTAACGTTTTCGTTGCAAGATGAGCACTGTGTTCAAGCAAGTGTTCACGCCAGAACGAATTTTGACAATGCGAAATGGATAGGAAGTCGCCGACCTACCCAGACCGCTGAAGCGTGTCTCCACTGTCGAATAAAAAAAAATAACTGCTATCTATGACCAGGGTTGGTCAAATCTTGATTTAAAAAAAAAAAATCAAAAATCATTGATTTAAATAAAAAAATCATGATTTTTTTGATTTTTTTGATTTTTTTTGATTTTGGTCTTAATGCGCGATAAATATAGGTACCTGTCAACATTCATGTCCATTTTTTAACTCAAAACTATTTTAATTTTGTGTATTTCATGAATTTGAGTATTATAAAATTGAAACAAAATATAATTCACAAAGAAAGCCATTCTCAGTAGGACGATGTGGGTCGACCGACATGTCTGTACAAGAAAATTCCTGTAGCCTGTAAATGTATATGTTTCAATATCCAGTTTTTTTAGGGGTTTTACTATTTTATTTCAGTTGAATATTTTTTATTATTCAAATAAATAATAAATGTTCTCGAAATTATTGTTTTGATTTAAATTGTGATTTTTTTTTTAAAATCACTTGATTTAAATCATGATTTTTATCTTGATTTAAATCAATTGATTTAAATCAGCCCAACCCTGTCTATGACGACAGGCGACACTCGAAATTTTTTTGATATTAGGTACGTTTTTCACGAGATTTTTCAAGAGTTCTATGAAGTTTTTCGGATAAAACGATCCATCAAATAACAGTAAATACAGGGATACAGGGTGTGGTATAACTACATTTACGTGCATTTATCATGCGATGGTTTTTTTTTCGAAAATTTTTATTGGTACCCACGTATTTTTGTCTGAAAAACACGAATTTGATAATGAAAATGTGAACAAACCACTATTTATCGAGATATTTCACTATTAAATCACAAGTTTCACCTTCTGGATCGCATTTAGAACAATTTGCCCTTCTTTTTTCATCATTGGACAATTTATTTATATCACAATATATGACACATGTTGTTCTATTATATGAGTAAACTAGAGATATGATTTTCTTGTGATTTAATTCATATAGTGAAAAGAAGGAAGAATATATCATTCAAAATAATGGCGTGTGCAATCTGTTGACATTTGACATCTCGTATTTGGATTGGCTATTGATTAAATGGCCGTCATCTGGTATGCTTGTTCACTAAATATGAAAAACTCGCCATAAAAATCATATTTCCTGTTGAATTTCCTATATAAAAATGTGACATTGAAGTACATCATGAGTATATAAAGTGTCCAATGACAAAATAAGAAGAGCAAGTATAGCTGTAAATGCATCCAAGAACAAGAAGGCGAAATTTCGAACTTTTTCTTGAAATATCTCCCTAAATAGTTTTGTTCACATTTTCATCATCAAATTCGTGTTGTTCAGACAAAAATACTCAAGTACCAAACACAATTTTCGAGAAAAAAAAACCATCGCATGATAAATGCAGTTTTACTCAGGGTGTCTTGGATTTACATTGAAAGTTCTTAACTGCAGATTCTTGAAAAAAAAATGATGAAAAAGTGTATATAGAAGCAGTGGCCCCTCAAATGGGTGTGTAACGCCATCAAAAGTTTCTTGAAAATATTTTCGAAAGTCTTTGTGATGAAATAATCAAAGTTTGTACACGTACCTAACTTTTTTTGCCCAATTTAAACATTTTGAGAATATTTTGGACTATTATTCAGGGGCTTGGGAAGTAATTGTTCTAAAATTGTTGTTCTAAAATGCAGTGGCGGAGTAATTGCATCAATTATTCCGCCAATTTTTTTGTTTATGCAATTTTCAGCAGTTTTACCACGAAATGTGAGAGGTTTTCTTCTAATGGGTATCTACTATTTTTATTGTTTAGTTAATTGTATTCATTGTGCTTCCGATATTCCAAATTGAAACATCGAAGCTAAATGTTGAAAGAATGGGTATTCTCCAATATAGCATACTCTTTGAGAAAGTTCAGACGTTTTCGAAAAAATAACCTCAGAAATAAATAGGTTCTACTGTTTATTAACAAAATAGTTAACAATAGAAAAATAAAATAAATTACTATCAGCTACAATGAATTTTCAAAGTGTTTTCGATTTTCTCGGAAAAGTAAGAATTTTCCCAAAAAATCATTTCGTGTTCAATACTGAAAATACAATGAGATCAATTCTTACTCAAACAAAACCAAAAATGAAGAACCATTCACGCATGTGAATTGAACTGGAGCAGAGATGAAAAGAAAACAACTTTCAACAACGCTATTTTTTGCTTGCTCCAGCTGGTGAAAACGTCATGAGAATGTCATCACTTTTCAGCATCTTGTTTACTTGTTCACTATTGCCCTCGCTATTGCCTTTACACAAATTATCAACATTTTCTGACGTTTAATAAAGACGATAATAATTCTGTACTGCAATTTTTTCTTGTTCTTGTTATAATTGATGAGAAGTTTGCTCATACATGACGTGTCGTGGAATGCGGTGAATGTTAATTGGTGTATACAAATTATTCTTAATTCAGGTTATTATTATACATATCGCCTGATGTACATGCATTGATCAATCTGATTTATGAAAGAGAGATGAAAATACTTTTTTCAATTCAGTGACAAAGTTGTTTCTTGAAAACCACCCTGTATAAATGAAGTATTTTGACCACCGTTTGAATCTGAATAACAAAAACACACAGTCAATAGGAATTAAAGCATTGAAGTATGCTTCTATTATAAGTCTTATATTTCAATAATGATTATGACAATCCAAAACAAACAAAACAGATGGTGTGATGCTTTCTTCCCCTCAGATAAAATTAGAAAAAATTGTTGGAGAATTGAACAGCTTTTATTAACATCCTGTTAAATCTCATTCTGAGAGAATGCAATATTGATTTTTGAAGGTTCGATAGTCCATGAAATGAACATTCAGAAACTGCCAAGAAATTGAAAATCGGTTGAGGAAGTCTGAAATTATGATGAATCAAAATTTATCGAATAATTTCGATTTTACCTTTCGACCGTTGAGCAGTTTAGATGAATGAGAGTTATTGAAATATATAAAATAAATCTCCACAATCAATTGTATATATGTACGATAACCTTCAAATCGATTTTGGCGTCAAATTGAAAAAATTACTGGAGGGTTCTATATCTATATCAACTGAACAGGAAGCAATGCTATTGTCTCCGTTCAGAAGTATTCAATTCCGTGATTGTTCTGTTCTGGTTATCTTCTTTTCCAATGATTTTAATATCATTTCATTCTGCCATCTTTAGTAAGGATATGTTCAGCTAGTTTCGATGTGCCGATGTGTCTTTTCTTCATTATTGTACTTATGAAAATGGTAAACTCAAGATTAATTATTGGAAACATCCTGTAACTAATTTGATTGCCAACGTCGCCAATTATCACTGAGAACTGAAAATTGGCAAGAAAAATACGAATTTGCTATTCAACTATCCATTTTTTATGTTGAAAACAGGAGCAGATTCATTCCCGAAACGTCCGAAGCTAAGTGAAAATTTGATATCTTTTCTGTATACTTTTATTTCTCTTCTCCAAACTTTTTTCGATACAAATTGTCTCCGACAAGCTAGTGAATTTTTCTTTCAGGCTCTCTGATCGGAAAACTCTTTGAACGCAGTAACACTTTGGTGCAAATCATCTGATTTGTCTTTACTCTGCTACACGTATATTGAAATAATATTCATATTTTTATTTTATAGGAACGAGGAGAGAAAATCCCAAAAAATCTGGAATAATGGATGTACCACCCCCTCGATTAACCTATACAGGCAGTATTTTAAGTATTTCTGGTTTAGTCAGAAATTAGGTGTTTACACACATATGCCCAACCCTGTATATCATGTCTTCATTGAATTTGTATAAAGATTGTTGTAGGTACTTGTTACACACTGAGCGGTTATTTCTTGCTGGATTTCAAGACAGTTCATTTCATGTTTACATAAATTTTCAGTTTTCTATGGAACGCCGTTTTATTTTTTATTCGACATGGACTGAATGTTCCATTTCAATGTTACTTATTTTTCATTCTAGTTGATATAATTTTAATAGAATAGTTTTCATTATCAGAATTGGAATTCACATTGTTAATAGTAATTTTATTACCTTAACGCATTGGACATAGCAATGTGAATGTATCCTGCCTATCAATTTCCATGGGAAATATATTCAATTTCATTATCGGGAATTGATTTCTATTTTGTCCACAAGCATTTCAATTGCAAATAGAAATTTGAAACAATATTTTCATTCTCGATTGAATAAGAATAATGTATTTTCATGGTACATGCAGTACAGCAGAATGTAATCTATAAAATTTTATATATGCGACAACTGTTCTTAACAAGTGGAATTAGAAAGCCATTTCGTTTTTCAATTCCAAGTAGAAATGTTGTTTCAATTTGAAAATAGAATGGAAATTGAATTTGTCCACATTTTCACAAATGCCATTGAAATGTACTACAATTTGAAATATCACATCGATGCTAAGAACAATTGAAATGTAAAACGGCCATATAGTTTTTATTCACAAAAAAATTGGATGTAAAATTCCACATTACCCTTTTAGTTGTATGACTTCAAAAAATGGCATATTGAAAAATGAATTTCTATTACACATGCATTTTTATGGGACATTGAATTATATTGCATTTGTAAGAAGCAAACTCTTCACATGCCATGAAAATACAAGTGACAAAACAATTCAAGTAACATGGAAAACTACTGGCGCCCTCTCTGATGGGAAAGAGGAATTTTTTTTTCTCAGAAGCGGTGCTAGATGGCGCTACTGTTT